AATTTCTCAGGCAGGGAAAGGTGGAGAACTGACAGATGATGAAACTACTATAATAACAGGAGCATTGAACATGACAGAAAAAACTGCTAAAGATTCTATGACACCAATATCTAAAACCTTCTCTCTGGACATAAATTCTAAACTTGACATGTATGAAATATACAATTTCTATGTTAGTTTTGATCAATAAATTACAGAAATAAAAGATATACAATTTTCTTTGATTAGGTATACAATGGGGGCCATAGTGAGCCAGGGACATAGTCGAGTACCAGTTTACTCAGGCAATGCGACAAACATTGTCGGCCTTATTTTGGTATGCAAATGTTGGTTTACATTCTTTTTATTGATATCGTTCCTCAAGATATGATTATTACTTAACAGACTAAACTTTTATATTGTATGGCCATTCAATACAATATGTTTTGATTTCAAGTTGCTACCTATCTGTGAAATTTTCATGCGTCATCACTTTAAATAAAAATTGAACGCGACATGAACGTTAGCTAACACAACTGCATTTCTTTCTGGTTCAGGTAAAAAACTTGATATTCTGTCATCCTGAGGAAGAAACTCCTATTAAAGATTTGGTAATTAGGAAAATCCCCAGGTAATATTTTGATTCTTTGTCAAATTATAGAGTCATAGAACTCTTATATTAGGAACATAATGCAAATTTTATGTTCATATTTCATGAATTGGTTCTGATATTTTCTTGTTTTTGGACATAAACTTGCATTATTACAGAGTGCATGAAAATTGGCCCCTTTATGAAGTGCTGAAACTGTTTCAAAAAGGTCATAGTCACATGGCTGTGGTTGTGAAGTGTAAGAAAGATCCCAAAGAAACGTCTCAAGACACCAAAGCTAGGCCTGATTTTACGAGTATCAGAATCCATTCGGATCCTGAACTCACACAAACATACGGAAAAGGTAAATCGTATCTCAACTTATAAGATATATAGCACGTTGAACTGAACAAATAACAGGCAAAGATCTCGTAAATCTCCCTTCCTTGATACTTGCCTCATTTCTACATGATTGTGGAGATTTTTCAGGAACTAAGCCTCCATTTGTTGCAAAAGAGCTTCGAAATGACTCCCCTACATATTCTGGCTATGGTGAAATTCGATCTCCTGCGCGGATTAGATGGGAGAAGGGAGAGGCAAACGTTTCGAAAGATGAAATGGAATCTCTTGAAAATAAGTTGTTGCATGAGGAGGTGATCGGTATTATAACAATGGAGGATGTCATGGAGGAACTTTTACAGGTAAAGCTTTTAGAGAGCTGAAATCAGTGAAAAGTGACCAAGAAATTGAATGAATGAGATGATGAATTTTATACTGCTCAGTACTGTCTAATATGTATAACAAACATGTATTGATGGTCTCGTTTCTTTCTCCAGGAAGAAATACTAGACGAAACTGATCAGCATATTGACATTCACAAGTCAGTGCCAGTTTCACATCAAATAGTGCAATCTTTTCCACTCTTCACAGAAATTAACTCGATGATTTATTTCCAGGATTAGAATCAACATTCTGCCTCCAAGAAGATTATCATCTGCATCTCCAGGGACAGCTTCACTCTCTCAATTTTATCGAAGAACCTCAGAGCCAGAGGATTCTCCCATCTCTTACTATCATTCTCCGATACTCCGTTCACCAATCCCCCCATTTGTTCCATCACCATTTATGAAGCCGGTATTATATGCTTCTCCTGGCAAGGCAGTTTTGAATTCTCCAATCAGATCTGCAGGCACTGTTCGTAGCTCACCATCTTCTCGCCAGGTATGTCAAATCTATTGGACTTGTGAAGTCTAATCATGCTGTCGCACTACCATTCTTACCGCATATAACGAATTTTGAGGGGGCATTTTCGATGATAGAGAGACATGAGAAAAACCATACTTTTTTCTTCAACATAGCGAAGACTGCAACAGCTCTCATATTGAGTGTGAACCATTACATTTGTATGTTTCTGATTTCTATTAGCTTATTGTTGCCTCATAATTGGGGATTAGAATTTATTCATAACAAAACTTGAGTGGGTGGATTAAGGGAAAAACTTAAGCTATTAGAGATGGACAAAGTTAATTATGTAAATTTAGTATTTTCCAGTTCACGAATTTCATTTTGTTACAACTTACATCCTACTTCTTGACAGGTCTCAAGAAAATCGTATGAGAGGTTACGACCGGGCGATGATGCATAAATGATAAATCTCCAACTGAACTAAAGATATTTTGCACCGGCTGTACAAGATGAAGTGTACAAACCTCAAAACAATTGTCTCTCGACATTCGTGTAGGATACAAAGTTTGCCATACCTATATATCTAATACATTGTAATGGAAGGAACTGAACAGTATGAATAGATATGATTTTAAGTATTTTTTCTTAATAGTGTCAAATGCTATACGGTCCACGTTGTGAAACGAGCATTTGGTGCACTGGAGTAACTCTCGCTGTTGCCTGTAAATTTTATACACATTCAATGTGACTTCCATAGATATTTTTCATTTTTGCCTGCTAAAGACAAAAACGTGACAGCAAAATGTTTCTTAAGCAATGATATATCAAATTGTAACAAGGCTCAGCCATTCATTCACCTGGATAAGATATTTTCTAAATCCCAATAAAATATATATGATTCCAATCAAAAATTAAACATTGTGGAAACAAGCCATGAAAACTCTCAGCATTCTTCAACAAACACCTTTACACATTACAAAATCAACTCCATGGCGGCGGAGCAACCCATTTCTCCACCAGCTCCACTGCAAAAACCCACAAAATTGGCGGCAGCTGCACGCCGGAGCAAAGGGCTTTGGTGGGGCATCGTCATCATCAACCAATATACAAGAGCAGCCAAAAGATAAACAAAAACCTGGCGGAAAAAGTTTTAGGAAAACCGAAGAAGACAACGATGACAAAATACCTGATGCGGTTTGGGAGAGGATGATTTCAAGAATCTTGTTCTATGTGGGGGTGCCATTGATTATGGGTTTTGCTTTGCTGCAAGTTTTGGGTGCATTGAAAGAACAAAAACTATGGGATGTGCCAAATTGGGTGCCATTTTTGACAAGTTTTGTTACTTTTGGAAGTTCAGCACTTGGAATTGCTTATGGGACATTGTCTACTAGTTGGGATATAGAGAAAGAAGGTTCGTTTCTTGGATTTGAAGAGGCTCAAGAGAATTGGGATGAGATGTGGAAAGAAGATGAAAATAATATGTAATCGTATATATACACTAAAGATTTTGAGTTCACTATGGGTTTATGAAAATTTGTTTATCCTACAAATTGTATCAATTGAAATTCTATTCATAATTATATGTTACTGTGATGAAAATACTAAACACCCATGGGTGGTCCTAAGCTAAGCAGGACGGGATGGTCTGATCCATTTTTACACCACCGTACAAAATTTTGTTAGTATTGCAAACTCTCACTCTCTCAGCACGTTCTTTTTCTCAGACAAGTAAGAAACGAGGATGATTGTTGTGTTAATTATGCACAAAATATTTGATACCAAATGTTGGGAATTCAAGGATCACGTATTGCTAGATACCACTTGATATGAGTTAGAAATGAAAGAAGATAGAATATGCAATCGACTAATTTTCATTGCCATAACTTTGTGAATATATAATACAAAAGAATGATCTAGAATCTATTGCTATTGGTTAGTTCCTAAATTGGTGGATCATGTTTGGAATCATTTACAACATAATATACTGGTGAAACGGCTTCAAAACAGCAAGGATTGCACTCACCAGATATGCACTAGCTTACCGGGTTGGTCACTACTCACTGGATATGCACTTACTTACCGGATTGGTCACTGCTCACCGGATATGCACCCACTTATCGTATTGAGCAAATATCGGTTTCGCTTCTTACCGGATTGAGCTGCTAACTTGCTATCTTTTGTTCTGTTAATTTCTTAACACCCTCCCTCAAGTTGGAGGGTACCTGAGTAACTCCAAGTTTGTCTTTCAAGAAGAGAAATCTTGAGTGGTTCAATCCCTTGGTTAGTAAATATGCTATTTGGTCTGAGGAAGGCACGTATTTCACTTCCAATTCTTTTGCTATCACTTTATCTCTGATGAAATGTACCCAATTCTATGTGTTTCGTCCTGGCATGGTATACTGGATTAGCTGCTAGGGCTCCTGCACTTATGTTATCGTACCGTATAGTTGGAACTTCATCCAGAGGTAATTCCAATTCTTGAAAAAGAGACCAAACCTAAGTTATTTCTGAGGCAGTTGAAGCAAGTGCCCTATATTCTGATTCAGTACTTGAACGTGCTACAACATGTTATTTCTTGGAAGACCAGCTCATCAAATTATCATTCAAGTAAACACAGTAGCCAGAGGTTGATCTTCTATCATTAGGGCAGGACGCCCAGTCCGCATCTGAGTAGCCAATTGAGGTAAGTCTATCACTTCTTTGAATCCAAAGTCCATGGTTCATAGT